GAAGGACCAAGGGTTTTTGCTAGTTGAGATAAGGATAGCTATACAGGGAGTTGACTCGCATTGATTTCCTGTGCATGTGTGTTACCTTTTAAGTTAATTCTTCTTGAACTAACCTTTTCTATAGTTCCTGGTCCCCTTCTCCTATTAGCCTCAATTTCTCGGAGTTTTTGAAGAAATCAATTTTTCCTATGGCAACACTGTAATATCTGGTGGAATTCCATTCTGAAGTCCCCCATAAACCTCTTTCCACTGCTTCCCTGTTTCTTTAGTCCCTACATTAATCATACTGACAATTACTCCTTTTTCTGGTGCAAAATTTCCTGACATTCTTGAACTCTATTTTCTAAATCATCTTTTAGTTATCCTTGCAACAGAACCTTAAGGTCAAAATGGTGCCACATTCACTAGTCACTTAACGAATATGCTCAAATACTTGTATTCACATTAAACAAAGGGCTGAATATCTCTATTGCCAGAAAGGGTCAGTGGAACCAACATCCACTCTACTAACTCTTAGTATGTACCGAATAAAGTCCTTGCATTGTGTCAAAATCCTCCACAATGCAAAACTGAATCTTCATTTCCTGGCTGCTCCTTATTCCCTGGTCCTGCCTGTACCCTCTACTCCAAATAAAACTGTATAGCATACTTTGCCTGCAGTTACCCTCCACTATCTGAACTTTTTGTCTTTGAGGTTTTCTCCACAATAAGGAACTTAGACTTCATCTATTAACTGATGGGTAGAGAGTCAATGATTTGCAAGAAATGGATACATTCACAGCTCTGCATAATAGATACACTTTTTCAGTCTAGTAAACAGACGTGTCTACAAAGAAGCCTGGTCAAGAAAGGAAAAACAGAGATAAGAAAAAGAGTGGTTGCTAGAAAGAGTTACAATTTTGAGAACAATTCTGTGAGTGACTTAGGGGCTACAATATGTTTGCCAGTCAATGAGAAAGAGCTACCGGTATTGAGGTAGATATTGGAGAGAGAAAATAGAGCAGTTGAAGAAACTGATGGAGCAAAATGTTTGAGAAAACATAAGAAAATAAGGATGAGAGAAGATTTATTATATAGAAACTTTTTTCCTGAGTCTTGGGAGACAGGAAATAAGATGAAGGTAAATCTGTGAACGTGATGTGCACTGGAGAACCCTTATGGGTCCATGTTTCTCAGTGAACAAGGAAGTAACACCCTGACCTCTGGAACAGTGCATCTGTAGGTGTAATTGTGAGTTGGAGGAGAGTAGCAAAGGTTTAGATGGGCTTCCATGGATAACGGGGAGTCTTGCTGAAGAGGGTGAAGGTTCCAAATGGAATTGGCATCATGAATTCTAATCCCAAGTTTCTGTTATTTCTCAACTATCCCTGGCTACCTACTAGAGGAAAATGAAAGAATGGATACATTGTCTGAGGACTGAATATTTTAGGGAAGGGAGCATGATCTCTCTATTTTTTTTGGAAGGGAGATATGGAAGTGCCACAATTGCACTGCTATCTGTGATAAAACAAAAAGGTTAATAAGGTAGAGATCCCATGAGTGGAACACCAGGTTTATACAAAATGAATAACATGGTGGAAAAGAAACAAAAGATTACTCAGAGCTATCCTTACTTGACTCACTTGCTGTTTTGTTTCCTGTAACTTGAATCTTTCTTCCACTGAACTATTTAATTTAGCTTGAAGCATGGCACCTGGTTCCCTATTCAAGTATGAGTAACTTTCTTTAATTCTCGACCTTTTTACAAGGAACCTTTTCTCTGTCTTTAGTGAAACATGGGTTTGAGATACCAGCTCCCTGGTCACACTCTGAACATATCATTAACAAACATGTGACATCTTTACTTTAAATTTTTTATTATCTGCTGTTAGAATATCAAAACAACATAGAGAAAAGCATAAGAAAAAGATCATCCTGTTCATTTAATCAATAGTAGTTCATTTTTACTCTAATTTTAAAATTACTTCATTTCCATCAAAATCTAATTTTTTGCCTCTCATTCTTGAGATTGCAACTCTCCTATGGTTGGGAATATGTTCTCATTCAGGTCTTATACTTTTGCTACATACCAATGTATTATTTTTTTGTTAAAACTCATTAATGAGAAAGTAGCAGAATTTCTTTATCCATCCCTTCATGGGTAGCCCATTTCTAAGTTTCCTGTGTAACAATACATCCCTGTCTTTGTCTTCGTGTGTCCATGTACTAGGATTTCTCTAAGAGAATCAGGAAGCATAATTGCCGAGTCCACTGTAGGTGAATCACTGCTTTTGTACATATGGCTACTCATTTTTTGCCAAATGTAATACTATTTCTTTCCAACACTGAATTGTCAGTTTTACAGTTTGTGTTCTCTAGGATGAAAGATGTTAAATTAGTTTTTGCTTTAAATTTAGTTAAAGATCATCTGGCTTATTTTGCTTACTGATCACACTAATTTTTGGTGTGTGACTGAGAGCTCAGAGAGTGATTAAGCATCCATTAGAAAGTGATATATGACATGGGATGGTTTAGAATAGGAGGGAAAAGGATGGCCTATTTAACAAAGTATAACAGGAAAATTATTAACATAGATAACAAAAATAACAAATCTGTTGCCATTATTTCCTGCTTTTTTTGCTCTTTATTATCAATGTTTATGATTCCTCTGTATTTTGATTATTAATCCTTTAAGAAATCTGTGTGTAGTAGAATCCTTTCTCTAGTCATGGTTTGCCTTTCCCTCCTTTAAAATTTTTGGTGGGACTAAGGTTTGAACTCAGGGCTTTGTGCTTATAAAGCAGGTACTCTACTACTTGAGTCACACCTTCAGTCTGTTTTGCTCTGGTTATTTTGAAGATGGGGGCTGACGTCAAACCACAATCCTCCCTATCTCAGCCTCCCAAGAGCTAGACAGGTGTGAGTCATCCTTTTGCCTTTCCCTTTTAAAAATATATCCTTTTCATAAAAAGGTTTTAAAATAGTCAAATTTTATAATCTTTTTCATGTTTTGTGTCTGGTTTAAGAAGTCAGTTTCTGTTCTCATACCATACACATATTGTCCTCTAAATTTTTTTTGTAATTTTGCATTCCACAGCTAATCCTTTAGGAATTACTTTTCATATAGGCAATCAATGTTCCTATAACTCTTTGCTAAATAGCCCTTCTTTCTCTCAGTCTATTTCTAAACCATCCCATGTCATATACCACCTTTTAATAAATATTTCATCTCTGTCTGGTTCCTCCAGACTGCTAACTTCTTTTTTTACATATTGATTTGAGCAAACACACTTACTGAAATTTCTTAGTTTATCTAGAGATTCCTTTGTTTTTTATAGACAGTCATATTTCTGTGAATTCTGTACTTTTGTTTCTAATTCATACATAGCAAAATTATTTTTAGTCCTTGGTTTACATATAAGGCAATAATAACTTCATATGTTTTATATGGAGACTATTAATCTCTGTGCTTCTTGGGGTGGGTTGCTTCACTGCCTGTACCATAGGGCATAAGCACCCAGTGTAATGCCCCAGCCCTTTGTACCTGACTTAAACTCCAAAGGGCCAATACAGCATCGCCTAGGGCTTATAATTCTTGCTCTGAGCTTTATCTTTGTTTCTTATGCCAAGATATTCCATGTCTTTTTTCAAGATTGGTTATATGTTTTTTAACTTTTGTATTGATAATTTCCATGTGTTCTTAATAAGAATGAGACTGTCAACATCAGCTTAGTCTAGCATGTTGCCAAGAGCCCCTCCTCTGAAATCTTATTCTTCCATATCATATGAGCTAACCAGTCTTGAGCCCTCCAGGTTTACTGAACTCATTGGACCTGAGGTATTACAACTCAGAATGAAGAAGGGGAAGGGCATCTAAAGAGACAAAGCCAAAAAGAGATAAGAAAGCACATTGCTATTTTAAAGATAATTATACCAATTTCCTTCATGCAGGCCTAGCACATAGTTCACATATGTGCTATAGAAACATGGAGAATTGGTGATAGAATTAATTACAGAAATAGTTTTGGAGGAAAAGTCACTTTAGAAAAATCACTGGCATTTAGCCAGGTACTTTGGCAGGATGACTGAACATGGAAATATGGGGGAAAAAACAAGCCTACAGAAATACACTTGAGTGTTTACTAAGCAGTACTTGTAGACAAGTGGAGTGGTTTGGGTAACCTAAAAAGTAACGAAGGACAGGAAAAGAAGACTGAAGAAAAAAGCCTTGTGATTATGTTTTCCTGAGGATTTGCTGAAAGATAAAATATAAAATATAAAATATTAATGTGGATTAAATATTAAATGGGTGAAATTTACATTACAAGTGGGATACCCAGGGAGAAAATTCACTGATTTATTTTGGTAGGACATAAATTCAGTGATTCTTGTGACTTACGATCTTCCAATGCCAGTGTAGACATTTGTTGCCTCCTGGATTCTGGGATCACTCTGTGTTGGGTCAATGGAACAATTTCCAATTTCCGGGTTAGTCCTTCCACTGAAAGATCTTCTTCTATGGAATACTTGTCAAAGACTCTAAAATGCTATCTTTTTCTTATGTACATTAATGTTAGAGTGTGATTTTGACTTCTCCATGAGATTATAAGGTCCTCGAGAGCAAGGACTGTCTCTTGTTAGAATGAATGAGTGAAAACTGTATTCATTGCATACTTAAGATTTCTTTGCATGGCCTGAAATAGACTCTAGACCATGGAATATGGCCTTTAATTATGAAATAATCAAATCCTAGATATTTTCATTGTGGGGCTATGAGGAAGATGACCACCTCCAATTCACAGATTGCTCACTTTAAGAAATGAAATTCCAGGGGTGAATGGACATTAGTCCCATTAACCAACAGGGAGTTTTCACCAAATTGTGGGATACCTCAGGGTTTCATAAACTCAGTTATACAGACAGATGATCACTTGCATCTGAGTGGACATATAGAAGATCATAATATATAGTTACTGCACTAGTAATTCTTCATTCTTTTCCCTTTTCATGCTGAAGGAGCCATGAGGGAAGAAAACCAGTCTTCTACCACAGATTTCATCCTCTTGGGAGTTACTGGGTATCAGGAACAGGAAGAGTTCTTCTTCATCCTCTTCCTGTTCATTTACCCCATCACAGTGATTGGGAACATGCTCATCATCCTAGCCATTCTCTCTGACATTCACCTTCACAACCCCATGTATTTTTTTCTTGCAAATCTCTCCCTTGTTGATATTTTCTTCTCATCTGTAACCATCCCCAAGACATTGGTCAACCATCTCAGGAGTAGCAAAGCCATCTCTTTTGAGGGGTGCCTGACCCAGATGGATTTAATGTTAGCTTTGGGCAACACAGACAGCTATATTTTAGCTGCAATGGCAATTGACAGAGCTGTAGCCATCAGCCGCCCACTTCATTATACAATAATTATGAGCCCCCAGCTTTGTGTCCTGCTGGTTGTTGGGTCTTGGGTGGTTGGAAACACCAATTCCTTTCCTCACACTCTGCTCACAGCTCGTCTGTCCTTCTGTGGAAACAAGGAAGTAGCCAACTTCTACTGTGACATTACCCCTTTGCTCAAGTTGTCCTGTTCTGACATCCACTTTAATGTGAAGATGATGTACTTGGGGGTTGGTGTTTTCTCTGTGCCTTTGCTGTGCATTATTATCTCTTATGTTTGGGTCTTCTCCACAGTCTTACAGGTTCCCTCCACTAAGGGAACACTCAAAGCCTTCAACACCTGTAGTTCTCACCTGACAGTGGTTTCTTTGTATTATGGGACAGTCATGGGCATGTATTTCAGACCTCTGAACAATTACAGTCTGAAGGATGCAGTGATAACGGTGATGTACACAGCAGTGACTCCAATGTTAAATCCTTTCATCTACAGTCTGAGAAACAGGGACATGAAGGCTGCTCTGGGGAAACTCTTCCACAGTAGAACCTCTGTGAGATCACCACTGTGACATCATATATTGAATGTTATGGCCACCAGTTGGGAAGCACTTAAAGATCCAACTCCATGGTTATTCTTACAAGAATCTTTCATCTTTCCTGCCTGAATTTACTTTTCTCAGAAATCTTATAATAGTTTGATGAGACAACTCACTGAATTTATAACTTTCAACACATTTCTACTCCTATGGCAGAGAATATCATCAGGAAGTATTGGGTTCAAGTTCTACCCATGCTATGGACTAGCAGAGTAAAGTTAGGAAAATATTAGCCTTCACTTCCCTTTCCACATATTATGAATAATATCTACCCTGCTTGTGTCACAGTAGTTTATGCTTTTAAGATAATAAATCACTCTTTGCATGTCATTTTTATTGAGGTCAGAAGCTGTTTTTATACATGACTGTACATTAGCGACCTTGATCATATAAAGTGCATCTAAAATGTTAATGGAACTGAAATAAAAATATTAGTCTCTGAAATGGAATCTGATAAGGATTAGAGATCAACCTACTGAACGTTGTTTAGTCATCCTTTAAAGAACTGATCTGAGGAGATACTTTTGTGTTTACTCACAGTTGATTTAACTATGCATACACAAACACAACTCTCTGTCTCTCTTTGTATTCTCTCTCTCTCTCGATCTTTCTCTCTCTCTGTCTGTCTCTCAACAGTACCCATTTGGTATATTAACTTCAGGAAGAAGTCACTTTCCCTACAACTAAAAGCAAAAGGTGGCATTACCAGAACCCAGAGCTTGGAGGAAGGATGACCACATATCTGATACTCTAAGCTCTGATGAAATCTACTGAGAAGATTCTACTTTGTCAACACTTGGAGAGGTGACTGAAACTCTCACTTTTTAGGGGTCTGATTCCTCTATATCACTTTGGGGGAGAGACTGGTATAGTTCTAGACTTTTATCTATTGAGCATGGGAATAATGAAAGGTACTCCAGACATCATTCCAGACAATTATCCTCCCTCATAACATTATTTAACAGCTGCACATTCACTGTGAAAAAAGAAAACTTTTTTCTCTGACTGGTTCACAGAGACATGCTGTAAATTTGGCTGAATCTTAACAATACAATATTAAGTTTAAAAAATAACCCCCCCAAATTATTATTGATACCTTTTATAAGGCCATAAATAACTTCAAAGAATAAAAATTACATTTTGCAAGAATAAACACATGTGTCGTAAAAGTGTGTTAAAAACAAATTGCAAGATGACCACAGGGATCAGAATGAATGGAAATTCATGAGGGAATAGTAAGGGGAGCGGATCTCAGGTACCCTGCAATTAGGTGTAGGTTATTACTAGTGTCCTAATTTTCAGGTTGGGTGGTTAGTCCAGAAGTACTTATGATATTATGATAGATTGATAAGTGATAGATATGTAGATAGATAGATATGCACAAAACTCAATGTTAAGGTATCTTGTTGAATCTAGGATTGGGTCAACAGAGTAAAGGAGGCAGGAGGAGCAAAGAGATGGGGAGCTTCATCAGATATCTCTTAGTGTAATCTGGAGAAGACACAATAAATATGCATACCAAGGGCCTAGATGCAAAGATAACATGGAACAAATAACAGAATGGAATCTAATAACTTTTATGATAGTAGTACATCAAGAGATGTCTTCACTTTTAGGAGGAAAAGGAGATCTTTAATTAAAATAATTATTGTGAATATGGCTCACAATATCTCATAGGCTGAGGACTTGGGCTGAATAAACAGGCAAAATAGAAAAAGTCCAGTGCACAGGCATACTGTCTCTCTCTGTTTTGTAGCTGCCATGATGTGAGCTGCTCTGATCCACCATGCCCTCCTCACTATAATGGACTGAAAACATGGAGCAGAACTATTCATTCCTCTTCCAAGTTATTCTATCATGTAATTTTTCACAGAGAAGAAAAATCTGACACAGAAATAGACCCCTTCCATGAGTGATTCCAACATTCTTTCTAGGGAACTTCTGTATTTAAAAAATGTATATAAAAGTGGCCTGAGCGTCAAACACTTTACAAATATTAGCAACTTGTGATGCTTAATCTTGATTGGATTAATTGATGTTTAATGTTTGTATTTATTTATGGGTACAGTTCTGGAATTAATACATGTACACAACGTGTAACAACCAAAGCAAGGTATTTAACATTAACTTAACCTTCAATATTATCATTTCCATGTGTTGGGAGCCTTCACACTCTGTCTAGGTATTTTGAAATGTATAATTAATTGTTGTATATTGTGCTGTAGAACATTAGAGATGCTGCCTTTCTTCCATGTTTTGGTACCCCTTAACTACTTTCCCATTCTCCTCCTTTTCCCCTTCCTAGACTCTGTGGACTGCTCTTCGACTCTCTACTTCCACATGAACAATATTTAGCTTCTACAAGTGAGCAAGAATGCAGTATTTGTCTCCAGGAGTTTTACACTTAGTTCTATCTATCCTGTTGACATAAATAACAGGGTTTTATCCTTTTTCTGACTAAATAATATTCTATTGTGTATGTATAGTTCCTTTTTTTTTAAAAACCCCATTCATTCGTCTATGAATGAATTCAATAGCTTGGCTACTGTGAATAGGTGCTGCAATAAAAATGGGTGTACGTGTACCTCCTTGGCATAAGGATTTAATTTCCCTTGAAAATATTCTCTGATGTGGGAATGTTGAATATATAATAATTATATTTTCAGTTTTCTAAGGAAATTCCATACTGTTTTCCATACTAGGTTTACTAATTTGAATTCCCAGCAACAGTGTATGTGAGAGACCCCCTTCTCCACAAGCTCACAAGCATTTTTGGTTTTTTTGTGATAATCATTCTCCCATCCAAGTACTAACCAGGCCCGACCCTGCTTAGCTTCCGAGATCAGACGAGATCGGGCGCGTTCAGGGTGGTATGGCCGTAGACTGTGATAATCATTCTAACTGGGACGAGATGGTAACCACTGGATTATTTCTCAAATGTCTTCTTCTCGTAGCTTGATAATCTCAGGCTGTAAATTTAAACCTTGATCCTTTATTTCTCATTTTTATTAGTGCACATTAATAATACAAAAGAGTGGGTTTCCTTGTGGCTCTCTCGTCCATGCTTGTATCATATTCTGATTATGCCTACTCCCCTATTGCCCTACCTTACACTCCTCTCCATTCTCTCCATGAATAGTCTCTCTTGTATTTTCAAATCATTTTTCTGGATTCCACCTATGAGAGAAACATGCAATCCTTATCTTTCTGAGTCTGGCTTATATCACTTAAGAAACATGTACAGTTTCATCCATTTCCTGAAAATGACATGATTTTGTTCTTTTTGGTTGAGCAGTACTTCATTGTGTATATACACCACAGTTTCTTTATCCATCCTTTCATTTATGAGTACCTAGGAAAATTCCACAACTTGGCTATTATGAATATAACTGCAGTGAAGATGAGTATGCAAGCATCTCCATTCTAAGCTGACTTTGATTCCTTCAGGTATATCTCAAGGAGTAGTATATCAAGACCTTATGGTAGTTCTATTTTTATTATTTTGAGGAAATTTCATACTGTTTTCTGTAGTGGCTGAACTTACTTACTTTCCCATAAGTAGTGTTCAAGGTTTTGTCCCCCCACATTCTCACCAGCATTTATTATTTTTGTGTTCTTTATGATAGCCATTCTGAATGGGGGTGAAATGGAATTTCAATGTAATTTTAATTTTTATTAATTTATTGTATAAAATAATGTTCTATGATCTTACTCACTCCCCAATTACCTTCCTTTGTCCCTCTCCCTCCCTCCTCTGGTCTGTCTCTTGCAAAGAGTACTCTGTTTAGGTTCATATTTTATTTATTGTTTGTATTTGTGGAACTAGATTCTGCATATGATAGAAAATATGTGGTATTTGTCTTTCTGAGTCTGTCTTATTTCATTTAACATGATGGTCTCCAGTTCCATCCGTTTTCCTGAAAATAACATAGTTTAATTCTTCTTTGTGGCTGAATACCAACCCATTTTGCATATATGCCACATTTTCCTTAACCATTCATTTGTTTTTATTTTTTGCTGCTTCAGAAAATTTTAAATTAGTGTATGTTAATTATACAAAGTGGATTCATCATGATATTTCACAATGCATATACTGTACTTTGATTAGATTAACTCCTTCTATTGCTCTCTCTTTGCCTTCCCTCTCCTCCCCTCTATTTTCAGCAGCTTTCAGTGGGTTTCCTTATTTCATCTTCATAAAAGATATAATGCATTTTGATATTATATAACCCCCATCATTCTCTTTCCCTCTTCCCCTTCCTCCTTATCTCCCTAAACGATCCTACAATTATAATCATGTCTCTATATATGCATATATTTATATATGTATACATATATTTTAGGACGAGATTCTACATATAAGAGAAAATGTGAACTTTTTTCTACTGAACCTGGCTTATTTCGCTTAACATGATCTTTAGTTCCATCCATTTTCTTGAAAATGATGTAGTTTCATTCTTCTTGAAGGCTGAATAATATTCCATTGTGTATAAATACCACATTTCTTTATCCAGCCATCATTTAAGGGCATCTAGGATGATTCCATAGCTTGACTATTGTGAATAATACTGCAATAAATATGGGTGTGAATGTGTCACTATTATATGCTGACTTACATTCTTTCAGATATATGCCCAAGAGTGATATTACCAGATATATGGCAGTTTTATTTTTAGTTTTTTTAGAAACCTCCACACTTTTTTCCATAGTGGCTGTACTAATTTACATTCCCACCAACTGGAATCCACTAAGAGGATTCCACTTTGAATCACTCTGCCCCTCAGTGTCCTTTTCTTTCCCTCTTACACTCAGACAATCCACATACATTCATGTCTCATTAATATTGTTTTGATTTGTATTTCCTTTATGGCCAGGTATGTTGAACATTTCTTCACGTATTTATTGGCCATTTGCCCTTTTTCTTTTGTGAATTGTCCAAGTCATTTGGTTATTTATTAACTAGTTTGTTGATT